TTTCCTCCTTTGCTTTCATTACAGAGTTACCAGCAATCTTTCAACGAAAACGTTATCCAAGTGGTTGGTTAACGTTAAGTTTGTCCTCCTCGAAATATTCCGTCGAACTCGAACCGAAAGATTGGAATTTAAATTGCAAATTAGAAACTTCGAACGTCCTAAGTTCATCGAGGGGTAAGTTCTCAAAGGGTTAAGCATTTTTTTATTTTTCTCGATGAGTAGTACAAGCTCTGAAAATCTTAGACGCTTCTTTTCCAACACGCCGCGTACGCCACTTGACGATATATTTCAAGAAGAGCAGCATTGTTTCCGGTCACAAGGATAATGCGACTCGTTAGCGATGAAGGCGTCTAGGGAGCACGCGAAAACTGGACCGAAACGAGCCTCGCGAGATCGATTTTCACCTCTCTCTGTCAGGGGTGCACGGATTTATCGACGGTTTGAATGCCTCTACCGCGACTCCCCTCTCTTATCGTCCATTTCCCCTGTCCGCTCTCGACGGAACGACGTACAAAACGCACACGACGATTCGTGTGTAACCGACTCGTCAATTTTTTCGCGCACACCCCGAAGACAGTGTTCTCTCCCGAGTGACGTAGGAACCTGTTCCCGTTGAAAATTCCGCCGGATGACACGACGAGGCGCCGCGGCGGAATACAAATTAGCGAGGGGGAAGCTGGAAACACGTCGGAAACGGACGTCTGTTGAAGCAAACGCGCGTCTAGTTTCCGACGGAACGATCTAGAATTTCAAATGTGCCGACGAAACGGTCTCAGCCGGAGGACAATATCGTTTTCTGTTAAGTAAACTTGCACAGATGTCACGTTTCCACCATATGTTACCGAACCGCTTTTACTTGGTCGCGTGCGCACGCCGCCGTCGCTCGGTTTGCGTTTAAATGGCGAACGCCGGTGAAATGACACAAAACAAGCGTGAATTTTTCGGGATATTTGGCAGCTGATACGGCCCTCCACCTTGTCCCGCTGCCAAATCGCCGTGACCCAGTGACCACGTCTCGCGAGTAGTCGCGTTGCTCGAGGAAGGAGTAGGTTGGACGAAGGTGCTAGTTTTCTTGCTTAGATCAGCTATCTCTGATTTTTCTCCTACTTCGGGACGCAATTTCGAGGACACCGGGAAGTATGGAAATAAGGGGTTGATTTATAGATTCGTTGCTGAAGTAGGAAGTTTGGATCAGGTACAGTGTTTTCTGATTCATAACGACGTATGTGTGAAACGTTTTTCGCCCAAAGTTTCCAAGTATGTACAGTATGTGTGGCAAACTTTGTCCACCTCGAATATCTCCATTATTTCAAGTGGTACACGGAAACATTAGTCACGGAAGTTTTACGATTGCACGAGAGACGTAACGTAGCGGAGATAGCAATAGTTCCTTTACACTTTTTTCGCAATTCATTTCCCTGAGCTATTTTTTCTTTTATAATTCCTTAAAAACGAATAACCGTGCACTCAAACACTTTCGGAGTTCCTTCATCATCGACCTGAGGGATCGAATGTAAGTGAAACCAATTCGGTCGAAATTTCGACTTGTCACGCATTTACACAGATATTCAACGTGAAGATTACCAATTTCGAAGTGCTCAGGTATAAATAAAAAAATGCTACGGTAGATACTTGCACCATGAAATTGACAAGTGAAACGGCGAAGGATTGTAAAAATTGTGAAATGTGATTAGAAAGGAAGGGGAGTTGAAGGAAGAGTTTTTCTGAAAGGTTCAGGATAGTGAGCGTGTGCGCGCGCGTGATGCATTGTTCAGCGAGCAGAAAACGCTGAATACGGTGGAAAACAGCGGGTTCGTGAGGCGACACCGTTGAACGACACATCGGGGAAAAATATTTGTTCCGGTTCGTACGTCACCGAGCGATTCTTACGTGTTGTGGGCGTTGCGGACTTACGAATCGAAGTATGGCGGTAAAAAAAAACGCCAATGACTCCGCTTGTGAATGGCGGTCCGAGCTTTGAAAGCATCCTCGCCACCAGCCGAGACTTCCGGTTTTCCTCCTTTAAAAAAGCCGACGTGGATATGTGCCAGGCTTCTCTTCCACCCATCGTCCACCGCCACCAAAATCATCTCTCTTAACGTGGACCAAGCAACACGTCTCGAACGACACGAGATCTCCTACCGTCCTCCTTTCGTTATAATCTGTCTTCGTTACGCTCGTTCTCTGGCTTTTCGCGTTCTTCCAACAACTCCGAACAGATTCGTCGCGGGAAAAGTAGAACTCGCGCCTCGGCCCGTATCGAAAGAGCGTTTGGAAAAATCGAAGCGACATCGAGGCCAAGAAAGTTTCGTGCTAGATTGCATTGTCTGTGACACTTGGACGATGAAGAATGGAATTATATAATTTTCTTGTTACTTCCATCGATACGGTAAGACTGATTTAGATTCCTTTTCTCCTTTCGAGAGATTCGAGAGTTTGTTAAGTGTCAATTTTGACTCGACGTATTCAAAAATTCCTATTCTTTCCAAATTTAGGCCGATTTAAATTCAAACTTTTCAAATCAAAAAACCTTGCATAAACAAAGTTAAACTCAAATTGAAATGAAACTATCAAGAATTATAAAATTTTAACGAAAGCTTCCAAAGGACTCAAATCTTAATGGAAACTTAATATTTCCAAAATTTTTGAAAAACCGAAATGTAAGTTCAACTTTAAACACTCTTTTCTGCTTAAACTTCATTCGTTCTCCTTCCGCAATATTTCAGCAGACCACGAAAAATGCCGCGCTCCGTTGGAATACAAGTAAACGCTATACCGTTCGAAAGAGCACCGAATCGAAGTTCGAAAGTTCGCCATTTATACGGCGCGCGAATATCGCGGGATACGGATTTTCTCCCCGGAAGTTCGATTAAACAGCGTTCACGATTGCTCGAAACAATGTACCTGGATTCTAGGCAAACACCTGCGGGCTTATCCGGCCGAAGTTTTCAGGGGAAACTTTTTCAGAGCCGCGGGCAACGGAAGTTCGTCTTGAGATCTCGTGTCGCTAAGAAGTTCTGCTTTTCTACGAGCAGCGCACGTTCTCGCCTTTCCCCCCTTTTTCCGTTCATTTTCCCTGTCCCATTTTCTTTCCCTCGACTCTCTCGATGTCCACGGGGTTACTTCTTAGTATAAACGGAAATTCGAAGCCAAATTGCCGTGGAACATTCTCGTACACGTGATGCGGTGGAAAGTATAATACATCGTCGATCATGAGTTTGAGACCATAAACGTTGCTGTCGTTGTCTTAACAATGCAAAACTGGAACAAGTATCTCGTCCAAAAGGAATTTAATTTCTTTCACAGTGAAACAAAGTTAAGATGGAAATTAGAATATAAAATTGTTTCCTTTGAAGATTACTTTAGCCTTCAATTTTAGTAATAAATCGTACTTGTTACGTGACAAATCTATAATAGACAGAATTTTGTGTCGGTAGAATTGCAAAATCGACAACTCTGAAGTTCATTTCTCTCGAACTTTCTATCGTCACTCTGCATATTTACATTACTCGTATTCTCGTCAAATTCAAATAACGATACAAACTAAATTAGAATATCTACGAAGTTCTCATGCAAGCAACTAAATCCTATGACAAAAAACCAAAATGTTCTAAGAAACTAAGAAATTTCAGCATAACAGTAGTACGAACTTAATTGTCTCAACCAGTAGGGGAAATATCGCAGTTCTAGTAGTACAAGTCTATGATTACTCCTACGGTCTTGCGTGGAACGTATTGATCCTGCGTAAAAGCGATCCGTTTTCGCCCATCTGCCAAGCTAGACACGAGGTCTCAAACCCACGATTGCCAGTGCACGCAAAAAACGACGCAGGTAAAGAAGAATCAGAAACGAACGATATCACGGATGTTAACGTACCCATATGTATATGCGTCTGAATGTACACACGTCAATATTATATGTATACATTTTCCGACTGTATATACGAATGTATATACGTGTACGTTCGTAGATATGTGCATGCTGTGCGAGCCAGGCTCCAAGTGACGTCAGAAAATAGGTCAGGATTTAAGCTCGATTCACACGTTCCGTCCTCCCGGAATTGCGCCGAGTGTCCTCTCAATTAATCGAACGTTAACTGTCCGTTAAAAGAAGCTTACCGGGAGGAATTCTTTGGCACGTTTCGTCCAGAGAGAAACGTCTCATCTTTTCACTATTTCATTTTTTCTTTCTCCAAGAGAATCGAGATTGAATCCCTGCAAATGTTACGGAGGACAGGTGAAATAACTATGCAGTACAACATGCGTAGATTCTGTCGTTACGGGTCCACTTCCGCTTTCATTCACGAAACGTCCTCTTAATCGGGCAGGTGAAGTGCCGACCTTTTAAACGAAAGCTTCTCTAAGGACGAAGGTCCTTAGGAATTCTCGCGATGGACAAGCTGCAGCGCGCGGGATACTTCGTTGTGAAAGCGAGTGATACTTCAAAGAAAGCGAATGTATCAAATAGGAACGGACGAAAGTGGGTTTCTTGGATCTTTCATGTCGATTCTATCTCCCCCTTTCCTCCCGCCGCACTCTCGCACCCTCTCTTTACTCCTTTGTTTCTGACTTCTTCGTTCAATCGTCGAGCGGATCTCGAAGATTCGATCTCATCCGAAAGGAATTTTCTCTAACGTTCCGACAGAACTAATCACGTGTCACGATCACTCTTTCTTTTTCTTTCTATGCACCTACACAGCCAATAAAGTCACCGTTTCACAAAATCATACATTTACAACACATCTATCATAAATCACCCAAGCATAATGAATTGTTACACAATACCACGATGAGAAAAACGGAAAAATAAACGGAAGATTTCGCCCCAAATTTGAAACACATTCTTTGAGATCCTCTCGGATGAACAAGGGTCGAGAGTCTCAAACTGCGATGCAGACACATTGTCGAGTATGCGAGGATTTGACTGTGGAACGAAGTTGTATCGAGTAAATTAGGATCACAGCGTACTTGGCCTGAGTAGGTTTTATCCCGTGAGCCTCGAGGTCCTTCTCCAGCTGTCGTATCCTAATCCTGGCCATGTCCAGCTCGTGCTTCACTTTCCACAGGTGCGTGTCGCAGATCGGGTCCCTGCATCTGTGGTATCGCAGGATATCCTGCGCCTCGTAGACCGCGCCACGGAAGGTCAGCGATTTTCCCATGCTCTTCAAGAATATTTACAAGCAGATTCACTGATTGCAATTAAATTACATCGATATTATCGTTATTACTATTACTGCTACAAACAGAAGAAAGTCCCATTCGTGTCTAAAGAGGTTGCAATTTTTGTACAGTGTGTCACTTAATTGCTGAATTATAACGGACACCTAAACTACTATTAATTTGTATGGTTCAAGGACGTGCATTCAGCGATAATCAAAAATTTTCAAGGTTCCCTTGAAATCATATTTGAGATGATTCTAAGATCGTAGACAGTTTTTCGCATCGTTAACACATTGGTGACGGAGCATTTGGAGCCGCGCTTAACATTTCAATCATATTTTTCAAAGAAATTCTGAGGAACGTGGTAAATCACTTTTTCGTAAAACGTATAAAATTATTTGAATTCGTGAAATTAAGCATTTCTGAAGACAAATTCAATCATTCGTAGCGTTTCATAAATTCATTTTCAGCCAGATACGCGGAAATCTCAGTGAAGTATTTCCACGTGATCCTCGAGTCAAAATTGTGTCAACAAAGGGACGAGTTCAGTGACCCCGATATAACTGATCAATGTAGAAAACGTGTTTCGGAAACCGTCAATCTCACTACTTTCTTCCACCGTGAGTATGCAAATAATAAAACAGGTGAAAAATTGGAACGTAATAATATTTGGTCGGATGTGATCGATGCTCGCAGCGCGAAGTACGTATATACATAGATTATGCAGGCTGGAAGCGGCTTACCAAGCTGAAAAGTGCGCAACACCCGCCGCCGTCGCTTCGCGCCAGATGCTGCCTGACGTACTTGAAATACAAATGTTCCAGTAGCAGAAACGCCGCCGCAAGTAGAATTCCCATCATCAATAAGAGAAACGCGGACAAGAACTGCTCCAGAGCCAAGGGATCGCTGCTCTTTTGTACCTCTTTGCCAGGCTTACACGTGCCCGTCATCCAATACCTTCTGAGACGCTCCAAGTCCCCTGGAATTTCAGTCTCCGCGTTTTAATGAGAAATGTACACAGAGGCGTGAACAATTGTGCTTTTAACCAGCGTGGCGTTAGTAAGATCGCGTTGAAAGAGCTTTACATTTTGCCGGCAAACGTTTCTTCGATAGAGTTCGAAGGATTGTAATTAGGATTAAGGCGCTGAGAGATTTGAAAGGTGTTTAGGTGAAAATATTTTATTCCACGATCTACTTTCATGGTTAATTTTATTGTGTACGTATGTTGCTTTCGCTGTAACTTGGTTTGGAGAAAAAAAATAACGGAATATTCAAGGACAACGAAGTTTGCGAAGGACGAAAAGATTAGAGAAATAATGGAGGGTAGAGGTTCTATCTGCATCCGTGGCGTGAGAAACGAAGCAAAATTGAAAAGGTGAATGCTGCTTTCATTTGCGTTGGAAACTACTTTCCATGCAAACATACTTTCCAATAATATTTTTATATTTCTGTTGAAGTACTCTTTTAATATTCCATCACTTTATACTTTATATATTCATATAATAAAGTGAAGTTTTCTTCAAATTTCTTTCATCCGCTTAGAAAACAAGTCCAACGCTCTTTCAATGATACAATGCACGAACGTATATAGATACCGTTATCTCTGTAGTCGAGAAGGCGTTTGTTAAACATCTGCAGGTACTTGGAATTCCTCGAAAAGGCAAGACCATAACCTGTCATGGCATACCAGGATCCTACGGTCAGCAATCGGCAGTCTTCATCCTGCGATACCAAATAATCCAGAACCGTTCCGTCGTAGAAAAACGCGTCCAGCTCTCTGTAGCAAAGGAAATGACGTTGCTAAGAAAATTTAGAAACTTCGGAATCGTCGAATCGTACAGTTGATCTTCCGACCCTTCAAACTTTTTCTTTTCAGAGAAAACGAGCTTTCAGTTTTATCTTCGCTGTACACCTCAAAGTTTTACCCGAGAGAATCATCCCTCTGAGAAGCTGTCTTGAATTTACTTTGCCGATTTGTTGCTTCTATTAATTACGACGAAAATCTTACGTCGACATATACGATTTACGTTAGACAATTGAAAAATGTATCAATTTTTTTGTTTTAACAAACGTTCAAAAGAAGTAGAAGCGTATTGGATATTCCCCTGCGTTTGCTTGAATATTCGATATTGAACAATACAAAGTTTAATTAAAAAATCTTTAATTTAAGTTTAATTCAGGAAAACACTGGATTCGATATTTTACATTTAATTAGGAAACTGCTTCCAACGTTTCTATTAAAAATCCCATCAACTTCCGAATTGCATCCTTGAACACCACCTTTGCTCTTCCAGCACATAACACAACCACCAAACCAGTCGTTGAGACGAAATCGAAGGGAACTTGCTCACAGAGATTAGGCGAGCAACTCCCTTCAGAAACTTCGATAACGAGTTATGTATGTACAGGGTGAGTGAATAAGAAACTGCCACATGAAATAACTCGTTACTTCCAGATTTGAACAAAACACACTTCACACGAAATTCATTCTAATTTATTGATAATTTCGTCTAAAATTTTCTGAGAAAAATTGCAAATAAAAATTGAAGTTCATCCTGATAGCTGGGAAAATGCGTCCATTCGACGAATATTATTAATTACAATGTGTTTCGTTTCACATAAAATATATTTGAATAAAATCGATAAATTATTTCAGATAGCAGTTCTTATTAGCCCACCCAGTATACATAATGCGTGCAGCATTGAGCGCGGTTTAAACAGCGCATGACTAACTTCTGACACAACAGGAGCTAGCAATTTCAGGAAAATCCGTGATACTTATTGCACTCACCCGCTGATAACCGCCTCAACGCCCTCGGCCACATTGCTTTTGTTGAACTTCCTCATGTAAGAGTGCATCTCTTTGAAGTATTTCGCCAGAGTGCTGTCCGTGTGGCTCCAAGGCATAGTGCCGAATTTGTACATGGGCTTGTGGGACCAAGGTTTCGCCAATCGAGGATCATCCACGCCGGTGAACTCGTGAAACTCCTCCCTCGTGATCATGAAGGCGGCCAGGTTGGCAGTGTATATGGCAAGGAACACCACGGCGAACAACGCCCATACGTTCGTCATAAATCTGAGCCATAAAAGTGTGGGTAACTTAGGGTAGAGAGTGTTCAATAATGTAAGTAGGGATACGTAAGCGTGACAAATTTTTAATAATGTAAGTATGGATAAGTAAGCGTGACAAATTTTTAAAACTGTAAGTATGGATAAGGAAGTGTAAAGAATTTTCAATCATGAATAGACTTCCTGCGAGAGATCAGGGAATTAAACACCTAAACTTACGATTTTCAATTTTTCACAACAAAGGACAATTCTTTATCTTTGAAAATCGCGGTTTGCTAAGAAAGTATGCAAAGCGAGTGTCAATTTTGTTTAATTATTTTCTATCACTTTCCATATTGCATTATCCTTTCCACCACGGCAAAAACGTAGCAATGAGAAACTGATTTCTACACACCCAGGAAATAATTTACAAAAGAATAAAACTGATCATTTTTGCAATATCCAAACGAATTAAGAAAAATATGAGCGTTAAGAGGTTAAAGAGAGAAGCTTCCCACAAAATTCAAAGGGAGTACAGAATATACCAAGCGAACGTATCCACGAATTAACTTATTTATCACTGCATTGTCATAACCTCTTATCACGACCCTTTACCAGACACGTAACACGGCGCAATAATTACACTCGATCCTTCACACGAAGCGTCCGCATACTCCATGAAACTTTAACTCCGGTGCGGGTAATCTCGAGCTGCACAGGTCGGTTTGCCCCGCAAACGTGCACGCAGATATGCATTTGGAGCTGGCGCGTACCGTAAACCGTGCAAAATTTATTAATCAATACGAAACCTAGCAGAATCGCTAACAGAAACTGCGTTACATCGCGACGACGTTCGATCTCACGCTGTCGTGTCATCGACGCACATTTCTCACGAGAACAACGTGTTATTCTCACTTACTTCCTCCAAATAAAAAAAAGTAAGGAAATAGTTACTTAAAATAATGACTCAATACCTTACTCAAAATTTCAAAAAAATGGCTAAAAGGAGTTTCTCTGCCTACGATTTTTTCCAACTTTCAACAGCAGAGGAAATAAGTTAGACGTTCACCATAAGTGGGACACCATGTGCGAAGAATTTCATCGGATAACGCGAAATTCGGGAAAACGGCGACTTTTCGATGTAATTCATCGTACATCGCGGAGATTAAGTGAAACGTCTGAATTCGCCGCTCGGCCGGTTCGTGAAATAAAATGTGCATTTTTCACGGTTAATGCTGCGGCTGAATACAGTTTCTTGGCACGAGAAACGCCCCGCCCGGAGAAGATATACATGTATATTCCCGTACCGCGAACCCGTGCCATAATCTAAGACACTGCCTTTTTGATTTAAACCACTTGCCGCCGCTTGCTCTGCGCGCACGAATTATTCCATGCTGTTGCGCAACCACGAGACGTCGCGACGCGTCGCGTACAATTTAATTGGCAAACTTACGTTCACCTGTGTAAACTCCGTTGGCAAAATAATTTCAGCTCGAGTATCGCTTGCGGTGCCTGAAATTTATCGAACAAAGGGGATTTAAACCTTCGAACTTTATCTCCGCGATCTTCCCTAATCTCCGAAGGATCGCGTGCAAAATGAATGCGAAATTTACTCGCACGAACTTTCAAATCACCGTGGAACACATTTTGCAAATAATATTGCAATCCGATTTATTCAAGAATGAATTTCGATATTTCTCATTATTCGATTTTCCCATTTCTGGTATTTTTCAACGCACCTACTTTTTACACAGAGGAACTCTGATATTTGTGCGCTGTCACGAAATCTTCCAGGAAGAGTAGACTCCCGTGTAACGCGGTTAATTCGTCACGCGTTATAGGAATTCGCGCTGGACCAGAATGTTTCTCGTATAACGCGAATAACCTGAAGTATTACGTTTGGAATGATTATTGCCACAGACTTTTATTGTCTGTTTTATCAAATAGGACAGTTTTTTGAAAAAAGTGACAAGAGAAAAAGTCGGTAACGATGAAGGGAACAGTGTAATGCTCAACTTTTAACACGTTGACTGCCACGCCGAAATCACATGTTTTGCTCAGGACGCCACGAAAGTATTTTTATTATTCTAAGCATATAATGGCAACATAATAATTACCCATGGGGCGTTTATCTTTCTGGTGGTCACGCCTTGGTGCACTCGACGACACTTGATAACTATTTTCGAATATTTACTTACACCAGGGCCGTCAAATATATCTATCCGAAGAAAATTACGACATGAGATGCAAGAAAAGGAAGGGCCAGCATACCTGGTGCGAAAATTTTGCAAGTTTTCGAACAGAGATTGCTAAAAATCGGACCAAAAATGTTACCACATACTGCCCAGATTGTATCGTTTGAAATGCTTTAATACAATACACCGGTAGACAGAAGCTTTGATCAAAATGAATCTCTCATTTTTGACCTTCTAGTAAAAATTTTTAATCGTTGAATAGTGCACATTTTATTTCAAAGTATTCTCTAGTCAGCGATGATGTTCAAAATTCATTAACTATCAATGTTCGTTCAACTTTTACTATTATAACCATTTGAAGCACTCCGGTCACCGATGACCACCGTGGCGCTACAGGAGAAACAATCTGCGGTCACATATGACCACCGTGGCAGTCAACGTGTTAAATACGGGGAATTCCTGTGTTTTATCATTTTGCGAGTTTTGCGAGTATATATGAAAACAGTAGTCGCAAAATCTCTTACGCGCTATAGTAACTCGCGTTGTACGGGAGTCTACTGTACAATAAACTCGAGTTTGCACGGCCCGATCATCTCACAGTTCACCGTTAAGAAGCTCCAATACATCGGGCACAATTGTTAAAGAGCGCAAAAATGTGGTGGAAAGGGAAAAAGGACGAGTTGAAATTGGTTCATGAAGCACGCAAATGTACAAAGCGCATTTGCCGAGCGTCCGTGAAGAAAATACACTTTAACCAGGTTTCGCGAGTTCCCCCTGTCTCCCTCTCTCTCTCTTTCTCCATTGTTCTGACGGATATGATTTACGGCGAAGATTTTAATTCCGATAGAAATTGTTTTACCGACCTTGCTGTGAATCCCCTGGGAGAATCGATATGGACAGCTGCCTGAAATAATACGGCCCAGACCAGCCAGTACGTACGACAGAAGGAGAAACGATGGTTCGGCGACGGATTTTTCTGTAACAAGGAAAAACCAGCCTCTTTCTCATTTATCTCCAACCGTTTCACGTGCTTGGCGTAGCGATAACGATGCAATAATAAGAAAACGTTATATTCTATCAAGAGGAACTGTGATTCATGCGGGGAATTTAGAAGTAAATAAAACGGCCCTAAAACGGCCTATAAAGGATAATTTAGTTGGGTGAAAGTTCTGTGTGGTTGTGCATAGGTGATTTGAAATTAAAACACAATTTTATGTTAATTATTACTAAATAAATTGTCTGTCATTTGTATTGAATTTTTGTGCGTTTCCATTGCATCTACTCAAAGTATCTACTAAAAGTATTACAGTCTCTTCTGTTCCCATGCGATTAGGTGAGATAGAAGATTTAGTAGAACAGATCTTACTGGTGCGCGTCTAAAGTGGTACAACATAAAAATTTCAAATTTGATTGTATTTCAAAGCGAGAAGACAGACCCGCGAAACAATATACCATTATCCAAAGACTTTTGTCGCTACCTGTGCACACGTTGAATGAAAAAAATCAGAAACAATCGCGTTCGCGAACGTGAAACGAAATCACAATCGACGCTTTAAACAGCAGGTTCCATTGTCGGGGTGGGGAAAAAATAGAGCAAAGGTTTTTGTCGCTCTGGAAGCTCAGTTGCAGTGTGCAGGATGCACATGGAGGGGCGAGAGGAAGCTTGTCGCCCCACGATCAATCTTGTTCTTTTCGATGCAGTGCGACGGAGGTGTGAAGCGTCGTCAAGATTAACGATATTTTCCGACGAGTAATTTGCTCTATGGGGGTTTCGTGCTCCGTGGACGGGTAGACATACATAGGTAATAAGAAGCGAAATTAATAATACCGGTATCCGCGCAGCGCCTGAAGGGTTTACCTTCATGTTGAAACCGGATGGTGACAACCATTCGAACAGCAGTATCATAATTGTCGCCACGTGTATGGCCACGATGCCGACTAGCATCCAGGACGCGGTGTCGAACGGTTCTGTGGACAATCAGTGTTTACAGTGAATGAAAACATCGCGACAGTGGGTCAAACGTTATTCAGTTGAATATTTAAAATCATCTCCGTATTTCAGTTTTACGGATTTGTCGAATTGTCAGCAATTGGACATTTCATTTTTCATTTTTCTTTTTAATTCAGCGACGTACGGGAATACTAAACTTGACATTTCTGGAAATTAAAGAATTACTCTGAAGAATTTTTTTTTGAATTTTGGGTCAGTAATTTTTTTTGGTCCATTTTACCGGAATGAAAATTATGTGTATTTGTAATGATTACGCGAGATTAGCTGACATTACGTTTTACAGTGGCAAGTCCATAAAATTTCAGCCCGACATTTACGTACAGCGTACAGTCGAATAAAACCGAACGATAACGTTGATTTATGTCTTAGCGAACTTTTATTGCCGACGTTCCTTCGGTAATTTCGACGAAATTTGGAAGGAGCTGCACGTTAATCCACAGTTAGGACGCGCGTAAGGTAAATTTCCGTTTTGCACGGTAATCTAGTGCATCGTTACTATCCTCCTGTCTCGTGGAACAACATGCTCGTAAACCACCATCTTAGAGAAGGATTCTGGGCGAGCGGCATAGTCAATTCCAAGAATTGACCGGCGTTTGCCTAGAATTTACTATCCATTCTCTCTGGCAGAATTATCCAACGGCGAATTTTCGCGAAATCCTCGAAATATCTGGGATCGAACGTTCCGGAAATTTGCAGAAAATTTCGACCAAATTGAGTTTCCGCCAAGAAACTTTCGACGTTCAAAATACCATCCGATATTTTTCATAGATTGCGGAAATGTATTAAAAGAAAATTGATAAAGAATTGTCAAATAACTGGTGTTATGAAAGAATTACGTAATTAATTTATTATCTTGTTGGGTGACGGTATTAACTATCTGAAAGGGTTTGCTCGCTTGAATGCCTGATAAATTGCTCACCAAGGAAGGCAGTGGGAGATATAATACCAGTCCTCTTCGCCACTATAATGGCGATACCAGTTTCCATGTACGGCACCGTGAAATCGACCACGGCTTCTCTTTCGGAATTAATCATTAACGACGTCATGACCATGTCCGTCTTTCGGTTCACAAGATCGGCTATCAAGCCGTTCCACTTTCCATTCTACAAAATCAGACACGATTAAATGAGTAAAACACATCCTTTCATTTCTATTCTTATCACACAATCCTATCCAAAATTATCGCACCGTGAAATAATACGGTTAACTACAATTACGCTGGTTTATGTCGTTTACAAGCCTATTTGGAAAGCTCAACCCTGGAAAACCAACGTTAATTCTGTGCGACACTGACAAAAAAGTATTCGTATTTCTTTTTTAATTTTGTTAACGTTAAAATTGTAAAAGTTGTTTATTTCAAAACTTGCTTAATAGAAAAGCATAGTCCCTTTGGACGTTGAATTTCCGCACGTTAGTGTGCCAGGTTTAAATACCGCACAAAACAAAAGAGGGGCATCAGCAGCTCGAGGACACTTTGCCGCCTCGATACACTTCGATTGTTCATTCTCTGCGCAGATTCTGGGTTAATGGACACGGTCGCAATTACGTGTGAAATTAATCTATATCGCCGTTCCATCGATACCGTCGCGGAGCATTAAAACCTAAAAGCTCGGATTAAACGGGATTTGCCGTATCGACGCGTTCCAACTTTCAAGACGTTCTCGCGCTATTTTCGCGATTATTGAAACTAATCCTTCCCTCCCCCCTCTCTCGCGGATTAAGATTACTTAATTGGTTTTATAGGAAATATCCGTACGACCTATTAACGTTTATCCAGCTCCTTAACGAAGCTCTTTAAGAACTGGAACTTGCAGATGCGAGAGAACACGCTCCGTTGGAAAAAACTTGATCGTTTTTAATTGGAAGAATTGTAAGTGAAGTGCACTCTTTAGACAGATTGATACGACTTATCGGAGAACATTCGGATAATTATTGTTCATCGGATGAAATTCATCGATGCTCTCTCACCTCCAACGTGCCCCATTTGCCATCTTCCACTCTGACAAGCTCGTAAGTGAAGCCGATCTCTTCGGAGAATTTCTGCAGAAGGTCGATGCAGAATCCGCTGCAGCACTGATAAAAGCTCTCGTTCTTCTGTGCCGATTGAATGTCCATCCTGGAAAAAAAAGCGTCGAACACCGGTAACATCGTGGTCAACTTGCCCGCGGGAACGTTTTACTGCACGATCGTTCTACGATCATCCCTGCAGTGAAATATTCGTTCGGGTTCCCGAGAGGGGATGCCGAAAGGGAGGATACCTTTCGGTGTTATTTGTCACGGCTAACGAATGGAATGGCTTAACGTCGTGGTTGCTTTTTGAATGTTCGTTCGTTTCGAAAATTGTGTGTTTAATTGCGTATCGTCCAGGGACTTTGGAGAGATGGGTTTCTGTTTTGGGAAGGAACGGTTGAATAATTTTAGAAGATATGTTTTTGCAATGTGCGTTACCAAGGAAAATTTAGAAATTCTGAAGTTGAAGAATTTGAAATTTCGAATTGAAAATGAACGAAAAGCAGCTTTCAAGCTTGATGGCTATGAACAGGAAATCGTCGAAATGTGGAAAATGAGGATATTTTCTTGCAAAGTGTTTTACAAAGTAAACAAAACACTGAGATAAATATATTAAAAATTTAGAAATCCAGGAAGTCAAACAATTTAAAATTTGGAATTAAAAGTGAGTGAAAAGCAGCTTTAAAGCTTAACAGTTACGAATAGGAAAGCGTCGAAATATAGGAAATGAGAATATTCTCTTACAAAGTAAACAAAACACTCAGATAAAGATACTGAAAATCGACAAATCGCGAAGTCGAGGAATTGGAAATTCTGAATGAAAAGTTCGTGGAAAGCGGCGTTGAAGCATAGCGGTCACAAATATGCCATTGATAGGAACTTTTTCAGTTTTCGAAAGCAACATCGGGTGTTTGTTCACAGCACGGTAACTTCCCAGACATTCCATAACACTGCTGAATTTACTCGATTCCAGTTTACATCACGACTGAAACAAGTAGATTAACGTCGCTTCTGGCCAAGTCGTGCAATCTGGCTGAATGCGAGTTGGATGGTTTACTCTGGTCACACCTGCGCGTGACAAACCCGATGCTCGTTGTGTATTGTTTCCGCAGCTGGTGAATAACACTCGTTTTACGTGTTCCATTGGAGGGCGTGCTGCTGGGATAATCGATCGGAAGCTTTGCATTTTCGAAGAAGAACGTCGAGAAATCGGTTATTCCATCTTACATAAATAATACCCCGCAGAGATATCAATTTACATAATTGGATATTAGAGTTAATTTAGATCCGAAACATCTACAGTTTGTGCAGTATACACACAGACACGAAATTAATATCTGTCAGTGGTTCTGAAACTGTGTCAAATCATCTTCGAAATACACGTTAATCGATAAAAAAGAAATGTAATTTCAATTTAGCTCAAATAATTCTCACAGCATGGAAATATCTCGAGAAAAATGACGGACAACTGAAGACATCTTGAAGTAAAAGAATTCGATAAATTCGTGAAATTCAAGAGATTAAATAATCCATTAAATGGTCACACGAAACTGGAACACCTGAGTCACATTTGTTAAACGAACTCTCGTAGCAATTTGTTATTAACCATTCATTCTTCGAAGTATTTCCCAGAGAATTGTATCGTGTCCACGTCGTATAAATCAAAATCGTCGACCTGAAAACGCTATTGAAACCAGCGAGAGAATATTTAAACGCAGGGTAAAGGGGTCCGTTGTGGAACAGGTATCATTGATCGTTGAGTGATGCTCGTTAATCGGAAGATGTCCATGCGACGTGAATGTATCGTAATTAAGCCAGCGCAACGGACGTAATTGTCGAATAAATTTGCCAGGAAATGGACGTTAATGATGGACGCCTTAGACAAACGAAGAAGCAGCATGTGCCTCCGGGACTATTATGACAGAATTTACCTAGTGGCGGGGACGAAGCTCGCAGGATACTGCAATAACTGGTGTTGAATATATAGTTTGGCTCTGTGTCAACCACGATGACGTACCGAGATTCGTGACTCCTGTTTTGCTAGATGCATGAGCAAGTAATACCAGGTAAATACACGATACACGCGGTATGAATGCTATTACAATTTCATTCAGGCTGATCGCTCAAGTCAAACAGCTGAAACTGTTATTATTTATTATTTACATAGCAATATCGTTGTAAACTGAGTGAAAATTAAAATATTTTGTCAAAATATTATTTCATACGTTAAATAAAAATTGAAATGTTTTATTAAAATGTTATTTACTCGTTTATTAATTTAATGGCTTTATTACGTGCAAAGAAAAAGAGTGCACAGAGAGCAGAAGAATAAAGAATTCCGTTCCGTCGCGCAGGTACAGAACGCGTGGGGTCTTCGTTGACCGGGTTTATGGCACGCTCGCACGAGAAGGTTACTTTTGAGAACAAAGACGCTTCGTAGCTCCGCGAAAAAATAAGTCATTTCTTACAGAACAATGCCTTTAGAATTCCGACTTTCCGCGTCCGCAATAACGGAAGACGTGTCATAAACCAGGTATTTCTGAAAGGTCAATCCACACGCGCGCATAACGGCACTCTCGGCCGAGGGTTGACCTGGCGGGAATTTCCGACGCGTCACGGAAGGACAGCGAAGATGCCACGCACCCGCAGGTAGGGCTCCACTCCTTCCAAGGAAAAGCGCGCTAAGGGCGCAATGGAAGGGTGGGTGACACCTAAGGTGCACGTTGATTGGTAATTTCTGCGTACGTGAAAAACCAATCAGCGTGCCTTTCATGTACTTGGCGGGGGAGTCACTGGGGACTTCAGAAAAATTCGGGGATCGAGAAACACATTCGCAAGGATTCTCTCGTGTGAACAAGACATTCTCTGCGACGCGACAAATTCATTCTTACGTTCGAAAAATTCGTAAAAGAGACCGCTACTATTCCACAACATGCTAATTCTTTATCAGGCTCGTGAAAGAGAATTGATAATGTGCAAAAAAATCAGAACATAGTAATTCCTGGACACAGGAAAAAAGTTAGAGAGAGAATGCATAGATTCAATCCTCCAACTCCAAACTCGAGAAGATCGTAGAAATGTCTTACTTGGAATTTCGCGAAATTCGCGATAATAGCTTCATTGTTACGTTCGAAAAATTCGTAAAAGAGACCACTACTATTCCACAACATGCTAATTCTTTATCAGGCTCGTGAAAGAGAATTGATAATGTGCAAAAAAATCAGAACATAGTAATTCCTGGACACAGGAAAAAAGTTAGAGAGAGAATGCATAGATTCAATCCTCCAACTCCAAACTCGAGAAGATCGTAGAAATGTCTTACTTGGAATTTCGCGAAATTCGCGATAATAGCCGGAAACATTTGGGCGGCAACATAAATACCGAAACATAGAATAATTATTGGAACTTCTCTTCCTTCAGCGTACAATATTTACTCTGATTAACGCAAATTTACCAGGAGAAGCGATAATTGCAGCAAATTCGCGGTGTAAAAGTAAACAGAGCCAAGATACCTTCTACTACCATAAGCACAACATTCTCACTGCGGCAATATCACAAGTTTACTTTACGACGTCTTTCCAAGACGATGCATACACGTATGTATTTATACGTATACAGTGTGACAGGCATGAAAAGTACCCCCGAAACATCGATTTCCCTCGTTTTCTGCGAGTGAAGGATACTCCTCTCCGAGGTTTACGCGTGTATTTCGCGACTTTCTTGGCCAGCTGCTCGTAAAATCTTGCGTAACGCGTCTACTACCATAAGCACAACATTCTCACTGCGGCAATATCACAAGTTTACTTTACGACGTCTTTCCGACGTATGTATTTATACGTATACAGTGTGACAGGCATGAAAAGTACCCCCGAAACATCGATTTCCCTCGTTTTCTGCGGGTGAAGGATACTCCTCACCGAGGTTTACGCGTGTATTTCGCGACTTTCTTGGCCAGCTGCTCGTAAAATCTTGCGTAACGCAAATATATCGGTACGTATACGTTAGGCACAGCGACAGGAAGTTCGTGAAGGGGTTGTTGCAACCGAGTTTATACGTTACACGTACGTACATCGAGATCTTTATGCATTGGCCGTGTAGTTTCGTTCACGCCATAAAAGTTTATGGCATTTGTAGGGGTTGTTAAACCTTCGACGGCCACGGTTCCCGGTGAATTGGCATTTTTTCAAAAACACACAACCGAACGAAGTATACTCGGTGTAGTTTGTCGGCGTGTAACCACCGATACAGAGAAATTTTCTACTTTCGTATTTACGCGGACGATTTCTTTTATTTCCCTGGAAATCTTCGTCGAAGTTTGGATTTTATAGTGTGTGTCTTTAAATTTGGAATTTTGTGGGTTTGTTGGGGGAACGAGCGGACAAGGTTGTCGATTATTGTCATCGAAATGGATCTGTAGATTAGGCTAATTAGTAATTGAAAATATCACTGTGTTTGGTTGCTGGATCGGTGATTAATTAAAGTCTATATTAATAATGAAAAACCTAGTAATGATCAATTTCTTAATTAACTTATCAAATTGTACCTATTTTTTCAGAGATCATAAAAGAGTGTCCAAAAAGTTTGAAACTTTAGCATCTTTCCCAGCAGTCTGCTTTTGTGCAATTATAGTAAGTGAATTGGATATAGAGTTTATTTTTTCTTAATCCAAATTAAGTGGAAGCTTCTTAAAATTTAATTCCAAACTTTATAACAGGTTAGAATTAACACGTGTCAAATTAGCCTACAAAAGGTTATCGCAATGCTAATTAATTATATCATTATATCACAGTAATGGTATTACAAAATTCGTCACCAAAAGTGTCTCAAAAATCACGTCTTTCACATGAAAAATTTTCAATTCCACCTTCATTTAGATTTCCAAGGCGTGCTGCTAAGGAAAACGCGCAACTTTCATGTATTAAACTCCGTTTCCCCCTTTACTTCCTCAGAGAGATCTCACACATGAAGGTCTAAATATAAATAAAAAGCGCGGAAACTCGTAAATTTTTCTACCCGTGCGAGCTAGCACGGGTTAAACTAGTCTCCGGATTGAAATTTCGCTCGACGGAGAATCTAGAAACGCGATTCGAATCCAGCAAGACTCTC